TGTATCTTGGCAATGTCCAATAAATTTTAGTTTATAAGCCACCGCATCTAGATTCACGTTGAATTACAATGGACTACAGTAAAGTCGGGTGAGCTGGCTAAAATAATGATTCATCGAATGCATGCGCCTATAAGGTTGTGATTTAACCAATACTAAATTGTACATGGTTAATAACAAATCCCGTAGTTTTATCAACTAATTGTTTCATTCTATTTTTTGTTAGACAAATTATCACAAAGTTGTTGTAGCCCCCTTGTTATATTCCCGTACCACAACATTGATTACTTCAGTGTTTGATGAGCGAGGTGGGGAATGATCTACGATGGTGTTCTACCACACATCACTTGAAATGATGACATGCCAATGTGATAGTATTGTACGAAAATTCTACCCATGGCAAAAACTGTGGACAACTTGTTGGTAAGTCCATAAACAACATAAATATTGCTCTAGCCCCTGTTCATGGTTCTATTTGTCCATCCAACTCTAGATGATAGAAACTAATATGGTTTAATATAGTTTCACATGGTCGAATGTTCCTCCGAAAAATGAAATCATAAAAATACAGTCATGGTCCAAGAAGATCACACTTGAAATAACAAGTAATTTGAAATAGATTTATGGGAAATCATTGAAAGATGAGATTGGATCCCACTAAATTGCATCATGTTGTTTCTGATCATCGTTAATCACCAAAGGCATAACTAGAAAAGGCGATAACGTCACTATTAGAGCGTGATTCAGAGGTCAGAGGTCACATCGAGGTCAACATAAGAGTCCGTGTGGTAGGAGGTTGGCGTCAAAGGCTACCATGAGTGATGAGTTAGTGTAGGAAGTCAAGCGGTCACGATTCACGTCAAAGACTAGCGTGATTGGAGTTCGTCTCACTGGCATAATGTATTTGAAATTCACCCAAATCTGATAAACTCCAAATGTATCAAAAAAGAACTTGTTTAAATTTGCTTTACTCTTAACTAAATATACAAAAACTTAAAATCCATTGATGTGAAATGCAATACACTTAAAGCCTCTCCAACCAAACAACCCAAACAAAATTCCAAGAACTTATTTGCTCGTTAAGATGCATATATTGTTTCCAACATAGAGCTGGTCCATTCATATATATATATATATATATATAACCGTTTTCATCAGATAAATCATAATGCAAAATGATTTAATTGGCTTTAAAAAGAAAACCTTGATGGTTATATCCATTAAAGTGTAGCATGATCATTTTTACCGCACAAATTTTCATACCACTGGATAACGTAAAAATAAGGTAAAACGATTGTAGGTTAGATGGGGCATTATAAAGAATATTAACAAAAATAATTCTTTTAGAGTCAAGATTTTAGATCTTTAAGTTTTATCTGTGCATGAGGATGCTAATGTATATGTGATAAAAGTGGTTAGTAATTAGAATATTGCAAAAGATCAGTCTTGGAGTATCAAAGGAAAATTCATAATAGAAAAATAGTGTGGCTGGAATCCAAATGTGCAATAAAAGATCTAAGTTATAGATAAGTTTTTTACTAAAAATTGTTTAAATTTTAAAAATGTCTGATACTTCGGGAGATATAAAAGAAGTTCGAAGGAATCTAAAAATAATCATGCGGATGCAAAAACTTAGTTTTTAGTGATTTTATAATAGAGTTGGATACTAAGGAGGGGAAATATAATATAGTTATATAACAAACAAAAGAGATAGGAGAGTGAAGGATTTAGTTCAATAAGTGTAATTAAGGATAGAGATAAAAATCTTTTCTTACGAAGATGATATTCAACAAAGTGTGATGAGAGTATTTTGCTCTTAACTTTTTATGAAAATAAGCATTACTATTGTACCTTCAGCACCCTAAATGAAAAAAAGATTTTTATTTTTATCGACGCGTATTAATAAAACCAATAAGTTACGAGAGGCTTTAAGAAAATAGAAGGGTGAAAGTATTGACCTGATGATATTTCAATAGAGGTGTGGATGCTTAACGAGATGAAGGAATTCTCTGGCTTAATAAACTTTTAATACTAGTTTGCAAGATTAAAAGATGCCAGATGAGTGAGAGATAGTTGTGTTAATTTCCTATTTTTAAGGATAGAAGTGATTGCACAAGATTGTGCGAATTATGAGGAATTAAGTTAATGTGTCTAACTTTAAGAAACTATGGGAACGAGTTATGCGAGCATCAGGTTGTGCGTGATACATGAATGTTCTCAAAATACATTGGATTCATGCGGAGGTCGACTATGGAGCATACATTTATCTAAGAGTTTGATGGAGAAAATATAAGAGAAAATAGGGGATCTTATATATAATTATCTGATTCGAAAAAGCATGTGATTAAGAAGTTCCAAGACAAGGTCTATGGAGAGTTCTTGAAAGGAAAAAGAGTTAATAATGCTATATTCAAATCAATTAAGATATGTAATGCAAGAAGGCTATAATTTGTGTTTCAAACACAAGGTGGTTGACTAAGTATTCCCATATCTGGTTGGGTACATCAAGGATCAGCTTAAGCCCATACTAATCTTTTTAGCTTTAGTCGTGATGTTACTCATAGACATTTGCAATAGGATGTATTGGTGTATGCCTTTTTGCTGATGTATTCTTCTTGTTGATAAATAGAGAGGGAGTTGAAGTTAACTTGATTTATGGAGGTCAAATTAGGAGACTAAAGTTTTGCTTGAGTAGATCTAAAACGGAAATATATGGAGTGTCAATTTGAAGTAAGTCATAGACCTAGTGGAGGGCGATGTGACTGTTGGCGATCAAGTCCATTTAAAGCAGTACACGCTTTAACTTATATGATCCTACTTGTAGAGTGATGGTAAAAAGATGGGGATATAATCAGCAGATTAAGTTGGATGGTGAAGTAGAGGAGATGCAATCCGGGCTTGGTTGTGTGAATGGAAATACCTCCAAACCTTAAAAAGGAAAATAAAAAATCTATATCAGGATGATACGTGAGGCCTGCAAGCTTATATGGATGCTGAATGTTGGCCATTAAAGAGAAACATAATACTAAGTTAAGTGTGGCAGAGTGAGGAATGCCAAATGATTGATGAGTGGCTTACCCTTAAATAGAATACGAAATAGCAAACGTGAAAAAGGGTATGGAGTAGCTCCAGTAGAAGATAAGATTAGATAGATCACTCTAGATGGTTATAGTACATAAACGACGTCTTCCAATGACCCAGTTTAGGTGAGAGTAAGAGGGTATTTAGGATTTGAGAATTTTAAGAAAGGTGAGAGCAGACCTAAAAGCATTGTAGAAAATCTTAGGAATTGACATTTCTTATTAGATATTTAATGAGAATTTGATCCTTTAATCAGGACACATGATGAAGAAAGAGATTCATGTTGCCGACCCCAACGTATTGGGATCAAAGGCTTGATGTGTTGTTGAGAATACTCAACAATATTTTCTCTGTGATTATCCTCTGATGGAAGATAAGAATGAATCAGCCACTCACATTCAAAACACATCTACTATTGATGATGGGGCATTGTTTTCCACATACATCATGCAACTGTTGTACGCTCCCTTTG